CCCTTTCAAGCACCCGGCGAGTCCCTTCTTGGAGTCTCCTGGTGCAGTCAAGGTGCAGTGGAAGTAACCGGCAGGAAGGGAAGAAGGGAAAAAATTTGAAGAACTTCAAGCCATTATCGCAGAGGCGGGCGGGGACTCGAACCCCGCATCCCTGCCAGTCACCCATTGACACAGTATGACACTGTTCGCCCGTTGTCCGGGCGGTGCGGGTGGGGTACCGCCGCCATTCGCATTCGCATCCAACCAGACAGGGCCGTAGAGTCGATGAATCGGAGGCAATGAGTGGGTGTGGGGGATGTTGGCGCCGGCAATACGGGTCAAAAGAACGGCCTCCTCGTTTTCCAGTTCGGTCTGGGGAATCGAACCCAACATGGTCCATCACCGCTTCGACTAGAGTTGAAGCAGTCGTGGGCCACCACGGCCGCTCATGTTTGTAAGTGTGGAGATGCTAAATGAATATGTAGTTACTTCAGAAGGAATTATCGCAAAAACTTGGGAGGGCAATATCTTAGAGGCGGACGAGGAAATCGAACCCCGAATTTCAACCATGCGCTGACTTCAGTTATATCAGTGCCTAGGTAGGGCACCACCGCCGATACAGATATACTTCAAGCAACCTTCCGGCAGAAGTCGTTACATTGGAACTCACCCACGACCTCGCGCGTCCGTCGATTTGGATTGCCTTGTGTGGGTTTTTCAAGCCGGCGCTAGGGAGACGAAGGAATAAATTGAGCTGAAAAAAAAAAAAGTACTGCGGTTCCGCAAACACAAGCGGGCGGGGAGTCGAACCCCGCACCCTCGCCAGTCGCTCACGGTTCAACCGTTATCCGTGCGCGTGGGGTACCGCCGCTATCTGTATTCACCCACCCAGATTAGCATCGTCCTGAGTCGGAAAAGAGAGTGGGGTGAGACGTTGGAAATGGAATGAGGGTCAAAAAGTATCCTGGTCGTAATTATTAGGCGGGCGGGGAGTCGAACCCCAACACGGTCCCTCACCAGTTCAACTTCAATCAAAGTTGAGCCAGTCGGTGTCCACCACGGCCGCTGATATTCGTGAGTGTGTGTATGTGGACGCTAAATGAATAGTTACCATTTAGAATGAAAGAAGCAAAAGGTGGGATGCGCCCAGACCCGAATTTCAACCGCCCTTAGACTTAACTTCGAGCGAGTCGGTTACCGCCGCTGTGTGAACTTGAGGCGCACCGCGGTAGGAGAGCATCCTTTATTCCGTGCCCCGAAAGGAGCAGCCAAAACAGCCCACTAGGTGGGGCAAGTCGAGCCCCGAGGCGACTGAAGGTCGATAAATTATAATTCGTCGTCCACGGAAGGAGGAAGGAAAACGGGGCTAAAAAAGTGCCAGAACTCAAATCTACAATGCAAGCGGGCGGAAGTCGAACCCAACCCCCGGGCCGCGTCGGTGTCGCGCTCTCCGAATGGGTGCCATCTGCACTCAATCATCAGAGTCGATGGTCCGGACGAGAGGAAAGGATTCGCAGTGAGTGGGGTTCAAGTTGGGATTTTGGGAATGGAACTCTGAGGTCAAAAAGCATGCTCGCCCTCGCTAAAGTTGATGTACGGGCGGGGAGTCGAACCCCGCGCGGATTTCGACCACGTACCCATGCTCGACCTCAGTTTGCATGGGTCGTTACCGCCCCGGTGTGAATCGACTGCCGTAGCTAATTCAGCGGTCTTGTGAGTGGGTCACCGCCGCGGATTAAACGTAGCGGGTGCGGGCTGCCTTATTTCGAGAACCCCCGCACCGCTGAACCGGAGCAGAAAAAGAGCTTTGCAGCCTTGTTGGAGCTTTTACAGGCCGCGTGGGGGAATCGAACCCCGAGACGCCCGGTTCAACCACACAACGCACCTCCAAGCGCCCACCACCACCGGTACCGCGGATATGTACCACGTCGATTCGCGGAACTTGAAGAAGCATGGCAGAGCTAGGCTCCGAGCCAGCGACGGAGATCAATGGCGGAGATTGGAGACTCTTCGAATCGCCCACAACGTCATGATCCCTACCCGCGAAAAATGGTGATTTCGTCGTGCTCGAGTCCGTTCGAGTCAAGTCAAGTTGAACAATCCAGCTTCTTAATCGCACACCTGTGGGATGGATTTACTGTTCATCTGTCGTTTCGGGAGATGGACCGCCCGCATCAAAGATGATATCACGGGCGGCGGCGGGGTTTGCTGATGCGCATCATTCTGTCTTTTCCCAGTCACAACCCACAAACACTCCGTCCTCCCCCCACCACGAATGCACACAGACGAAGACTACCGCTACCCGTCCCCCGACGCTGCGCCCAGCTCGAGCACGCCGAGTCCACCGCCGGTCCCGCGCTTGAGAGCCGTCGGGCGCAGACGCCTGACTGGGCCCAATTATCTGCAGAACATACTCAATTCCGTGCGTCTCGCTTCAGTCTTCCCACCGCGTACCTGCCTCGCTTACCCGTGTATGCAGGACAGCGAACCCGAGCCTGAGCAGCCGCCACCGCCGCTGTCCTCGTCCTCAGCGACCTCGACGGAGTCCGCGTCCGCGTCCTCCTCATCGTCCTCCCCGCGCTCCACCCACGCCTACTCGTCGTCACCGCACCCCCAGCCCTACCCCGACTCGTACCCATACCCCTACGTCTATCCCGGCTTCCCACCCTACGCCTCCGACCCGCCCTCGCACCCAACCCACGCCGCTTCCTCCCCTCCATACACCTACCCCTCCCCCCAGTACGCCGCCCCACCCTACGCCTCCCCACCCTACCCTGCCCGCCCTCCCTACCATCCTTACCACGGCGCGCACCCCCACCCCCACCCCCACGACGCCTACCTCCGGCACCAGCTCTGCCTCCACCCCTCCGCCCCCGTCGACCTCCGCGCCATCGCCGACCCACCCCTAGGCCAAAAACCCTTCGCCTCCCTCCCCACGCTCGTCAAGCTCGCCATTCACGGGAGCAAGGAACGGAGGCTTACGCTGGCGGGGATCTGCGACGCGCTTGTGGGGAGGTTTGTTTGGTTTCGGGAGCATAGGGGGGATGATGCGTGGAAGGTGTGTGTTCCGTTTTTTTTTTGAGTTCGGGCGCCGTTTTTGTTTGTTGCGTTGCGTTCCTTGCGTTGCGTTTATGGTGTTGGATGGAGCGCCGACTAGCGCTCCTCCTCGTTGCTTTCGCAACTTTCCTCCGGAGCACATCGTTGGCCGGGACGCGCCTCCTTCATCGTTCTCCCCACCTTCATCTCGTTCGTTTTTCACCCTCTGCCATCCCTCCCTTTCTTTCCTTTTGGTATACCATATAATTGCGCGCGCGAAAGTCCCTCTTCCCTCCGTCCCAACTTGCCTTCTTCTCGATTCTTTTTCTTTCTTTTACCCCACTCACCCCACACCACACAGAACTCCGTCCGCCACAACCTCTCCCTCAACAAAGTATTCCGCAAGATCACGCGCGAGGTGACCCACCCCGGCAAGGGGTGCTACTGGGCGCTGGATTTGAGTGGGGGGGAGGGGTATAAGAGGGTGAGGAAGCGGAATACGGCGGGTTTGAAGAAGAGGAAGACTGCGCTTCCTTCGCAGTATGATCAAGTGAATTTGGGGGAGGGGGAGGAGAGAGCGAGAGAGGTGGGGGAGGTAGATGTAGGTCGCGCGGGGGAACCTGTGAAACACGTGAAGACGAAGGTGGGGACCAAACGCCGACGCGAACACGGGGACGCGCGTGGGGATTGGACAGATGGGGTGCAAAGGGGACACGGCGACGCGCTGACGCTTTCGAGGCCGTATGAACGGCGTCGGAGTGGGAGTCGGAGTCGGTCGGGGGAGGAGGAGGGGGAGCCGTAGCCGTAGCCGCGGGCGCTGGAGAGGGGATGAGGATGGGTTAAGTTTATTCGGAGGGTGTACGTCGAGCAGCACAGCATAAATTGTATCTAGCAGCTAACTATGCGTGAATTTTGTGTAGTCTATCGAGGGTCAAGTGGGTATTGGGAACGACTCGATGGCGGGTGGTCCGCGCCTGCTTTCACTGCTCCTGCATTTCGAACCTTAGAAGCAGGGGTGTCCGGTTCGAATCCGGGTCGAGTCTTACAGCGCCACGCCATCTTGCTTTTTGAACCCACCCAATTCTTTGTAGGGTGTATCAAAGGTTGGGCAGGTGGGGGAATGACTCGATGGCGGTGGTCCGCACCTGCTTTCCCTGAGCCTGTCGTCGGTTAAGTAGCGGGTATACTTGGTTCGATTCCGGGTCGAGTCTTAGAAGAGGTTAAAGTTGGAATTTTGCACACCCATTCAATTTTTCTGTGGGCTATCGAAGGTGGGGGAGTTATGGAACGACTCGGTGGCGGGTGGTCCGCGCTTGCTTTCACTTGTTCTTGTGCTTTCATTTAAGCAGGAGTTCCTGGTTCGAATCCGGGTCGAGTCCTACTTTCTCCACCAGGATTGTTTTTTGCACCTCAGCAATTTCTTTGTGTAGGCTATCAAAGAACAGGGTAGAGCTGGGAACGACTCGGTGGCGGGTGGTCCGTGCCTCCTTTCGCTGCTTTGCTGCCTTGCGCATTCATGTAAGCAGGAGTTCCTGGTTCGAATCCGGGTCGAGTCTTAGAGCGCTATGCCTTGATGTTTTTTTGAACCCACCCATTCAACTTTTGTATGAGCTATGAAGGTGGAGAAAGTTAAGGAACGTGGAATAGGACTCGATGGCGGATGGTCTGCGCCTGCTTTCACTTGCCTGTGGCTTCGACGTTTAAGCAGGTACGCCGGTTCGATTCCGGGTCGAGTCCTAGGATTTTCGGCAGTATGTTTTGGATGCCCCACATATTTTTGTGTTGGCTACCAAAGGTGGGGGAGGTTTGGGAATGACCCGATGGCGGATGGTCCGCGCTTGCTTTCCCTGATCCTTGTCACGATGAAGTTGAAGCAGGTATACTGGTTCGAATCCGGGTCGAGTCGTGCATTCATTGTCTTCAGGTTTTTGCACACCCTGCAAATTTTTCTGTAAGCTGTGTGGAAACAAGTGGGTGCTGAGAATGACTCGATGGCGGATGGTCTGCGCCTGCTTTGCTTATTCAGAGCGTCATGAGTTTAGGCAGGTATGCCCGGTTCGAATCCGGGTCGAGTCTTTCAAACCTCTCCATCATGTTTTTTATGAGTGTCTGTTTTTGCATGCATCCCAAATTTTTGTGTCTGGGCTATCAAAGAATGAGTGGGTACTAGGAAGACTCGGTGGCGGGTGGTCCGCGCCTGCGTATCTTATACTTTGTAGTTCATTGGCAGTGGGTTTGCCGGTTCGAATCCGGGTCGAGTCCTGCTTTGGGTTTGCCCAGAGAAGATTTTTGCACACCTCGCGGATTTCACATCAGTTATGGAGGGATGAGCCGGTGCTAGGAAGGACTCGATAGCGGTGTGCATTCCCTTGATTTCGAGGATTGGATTGGATGTCAAGCAGGTATACCCGGTTCGATTCCGGGTCGAGTCTTCATACTTATACCACACCTGCGCTTTTTTGGGTAGGTTATCGAAGAACAAGTGGGTATTGGCAATGACTTGATGGCGGGTGGTCCGCGCCTGCTTTCACTGTGCACATCATCTTTAGGTTTAACTTTAAGCGGGTGTTCCTGGTTCGAATCCGGGTCGAGTCTTGGGGAAGTTCGTAGTCCGTTTTTTGCATGCCCAGCTATTTCTTTGTGTGAGTTATGGAAGGTTGAGGTTGCCACTAGGAAGACTCGATAGCGGATGGTCCGCACCTACCTCCTGTAGACTTGTAAGTTCAAGCTTGAGCAGGTATGCCGGTTCGAATCCGGGTCGAGTCTTGGGGAAGTTTGTAGTCCGTTTTTTTGTACACCCATTCAATTTTTCGTGTCAGATATGGAAGAATTGAGATGTTATGGACGACTCGATAGCGGATGGTCCGCGCCTGCCTTCCCTCGTCTTGCGACTACGGAGTTTAAGCAGGTCCACCGGTTCGAATCCGGGTCGAGCCCTACTTTCTCTACGAGGGTTGTCTTTTGCACATCCTCCGGATTTTCTGCGTAGCCTATCGAGGTGTTAGTTGAGTGTGAAATAGGACTCGATGGCGGATGGTCTGCGCCTGCTTTCACTGGTCTTGGTGAGTTTTGACCTTAAGCAGGTATACCGGTTCGATTCCGGGTCGAGTCGTAGAGTGCCATGCCGCCAGGTTTTTATGAGTGTCTGTTTTTGCATGCGTCCCGGATTTTTGCGTCTGGGGAATCGAAGAACAAGTTGAAATGAAGGAGACTCAATGGCGGGTGGTCCGCGCTTGCTTCCGTTGTTGCGTGCTCCACGTTTCTGTCTCCCTCAGGCTGGTTCGATTCTGTTGATGACGCCATGTCAGATGTTTTGCATGCCCCACGGATTTTTGTGTAGCCTATCGAGGGCTGAGATGAGATTGAAAATGACTCGATGGCGGATGGTCCGCGCTTACCTATCTTATGCTTTGTAGCTCGTTGGCACGGGTAAACCGGTTCGATTCCGGGTCAAGTCTTTGCATGGTTTGTGTCTTTGTCGCTCCTGTTTTTGCATGCCCCCCAGATTTTTTGCGCAGGTTATCGTGGGTGGGGGAGGGTAGGAAATGACTCGATAGCGGGTGGTCTGCGCCTACCTATCTTGGCCTTGGAAGTAGGTACGCCGGTTCGAATCCGGGTCGAGTCCTACAATCTTCGGCAGTTTCAATTTTGCACGCCCCGCGAATTTTTCTGTGAGCTATCGAAGGACGAGTTGAGGTTGGAATAGGACTCGATAGTGGATGGTCCGCACCTGTTTACACTGTCCCTCGTACGTAGAAGTTGAAGCGGGTATACTGGTTCGAATCCGGGTTGAGTCCTACTTTGTCCAGCCGCTAGTGTTTTTTTTTGCACGCACCCTGCGGACTTTTGTGTAGCTTATCGAAGGTATGAGAGGTTAGATTGGACTAGGACTCGATGGCGGGAGGTCCGCGTCTGCTTTCACTTCGCTTTCAACTTGATCTTGAAGCAGGTATTCTCGGTTTGATTCCGGGTCGGGTTTTATCGTCTGTGTCGAGGCTTACCTTTTACACACCCCACAAATTATTTGTGTCGCCTATCGAAGAACGAGTGGGTGCCAAAGAGACCCGATGGCGGGTGGTCCGCGCCTACCTATCTTATGCTGGTAGCTCCTTTGCAGTGGGTTTGCCGGTTCGATTCCGGGTCGGGTCCTACCTGCTCTTTCCATAGTATGTTTTGCATGCCCAGCAATATTTTGTGTACGCTACCAATGGTGGGGGACGGTAGGGAATGACTCGATAGCGGACGGTCCGCGCTTGCTGTCACTTCGCTTGCATCTTATGTCCGAGTTTAAGCAGGAGTTCCTGGTTCGATTCCGGGTCGAGTCTTTGCATGGTTACAGCAAAGGTTTTTGCACATCCCGCGGATTTTTGTACGGGCTTATCGAGGGATGAGTGGGTATGGAGAAGACTCGATAGCGGATGGTCCGCACTTGCTTTCATTGGCCCTTTGACGAGTTTAAGCGGGTGTTCCTGGTTCGATTCCGGGTTGAGTCCTGTCAAATCCTTCATCAAATGTTTTTTGTGCCCCCAACAATTTTTTGTGTGGGGTGTATCAAAGGTTGGGCAGGTGGGGGAATGACTCGATGGCGGATGGTCCGCGCTTGCTTTCGCTTGCTGGCAGCATCCGTATGTAGGCAGGTACACCGGTTCGATTCCGGGTTGAGTCTTGATCCTCAGTCTTGGTTGCTATTTTTGGGCACACCCCACAAATTTGTACGGTGTATCGAAGGTGGGGGGAGATTAGGAAGGACTCGATAGCGGATGGTCCGCGCTTGCTTTCATTGCGTACTTGACTACGGAGTTTAAGTGGGTGTTCCTGGTTCGATTCCGGGTCGAGTCCTACCCAAATCCCAGTTGTGTTTTGCACGCCCCACAATTTTTTGCACCTGGGCTATCGAAGGTAGGGGAGGTTAGGGAAGATTCGATAGCGGGTGGTCCGTGCCTGCCTTCATTACAAGCTCTACATTTCTGTGTATGCAGGTCTCCCTGGTTCGATTCCGGATCGAGGCTTGACATATACTGTAGTATTTCGACCGAGTGTTCAGGTGACGGGTGACAGAGGGTCGTGAACTGAACACTTTTCGTATAGGTGACGGTGACGGGGCGAGTTCTAAACCGAATTAGGGTGCAAAACACCCAAAAAATCTTGTCCGGCACTCGCTGGACGTCCATTTATGGTAATTTTGTGTAATTGCCAAGGAATGAACATCTTGTCCAGTGAACACCTGTGGTGACGGGTGACAAGGCGTGAACACTCGGTCGAAATACTACAGTACCACACCTGCGCTTTTTTGGGTAGGTTATCGAAGGTTGGGCAGGTGGGGGAAGGACTCGATAGTGGATGGTCCGCACTTGCTTTGTATGATATGTTTGTTTCAAGCTTATAAGAGGCAGGTACACGGGCTCGATTCCGGGTCGAGTCCTGATTTGGGCCTAAGGTTCTGAAGTGCATTTTTGCATAACCCCATTTTCTTGTGTCTGGGATATCAAGGGACAGGTAGGTATTGGGAATGACTCGATAGCGGATGGTCTGCGCTTGCTATCAATAATGCTTGGAATGTTGTAAGTTGTTACTTACAAGCAATGTCCCCGGTTCGGATCCGGGTCGAGTTTTGGACCTATCATGTGGTGTTTTTGCAGACCCCCGTTTGTCAATATTTTTTTTCGAACTTCTGGCGCCGTTTTGGTGCAGGGTGGGACTGAGGAGTGCTAGCGTCAACGCGCACTCATCCACCGCGGTACGCCACATCCAAACTGCGGCGGTAGCCGACTCAACCAAGCTCAAGGGCGAGGGCGAGTACTTGGAATTCAGGGTTCGACTCCCTGCCCGCATCTATATTGTGCACAAAGTCCGACCTTTTTTTCTTTTCGATTCAGCGGGTGAAGTTCGCAGTTTAGGATCTGCATATACTAACGAGCACCAATGGCTATGGTCCGCCACGACTGGTTCGACTTTGATTGATTGCAGGTTGAACCAGAAGCGAGCTTTCTTTTGACCCGCATTCGCATTTCCATTTCCAACATCCCACCCCATCCCACCCCACCCAACGATGCAAGCCAGCTTGCTTGCTGGTTAAAGGCACAGGGAGAAGCGACGGCAGTACCCTGCCCGGTTGAGCCATAACTGGGATGTGGGACTCGACCTCCCGCCCGCCTGTTCAGTGTTGATCGATGACAAGAAATATTTTTGACCTGACCCTTCTTCCCTGGACCCCACTCCTCTCCTTCAATTAGTTGAAGACTCGCCGGTCGGGTACCAGCCAGGCTGGTTGATTGCATTTCAGCTGTGCGGCGCCGGAAACCACTCGGGGAGAGTGTCAGTTGAGCCACAGCTGGGATACGAAGTTCGACTCCTCGCCTCCTGGTTGTTAGGCTACTTTTATTTCCTCTAATTCCTGCCTGCCTCCCCGCCTTGTAATTAGGCTTATTTGAACCTGAGCTTGCGATGGGACCCATCCCATCGTGCCCACTGTTCGAAGAGCTCAAAGGAGAGTGTGTCCCTCCGCCATTCTTGACGTCCTGAACCTCCACAACGAGGATGGCGAACTTTTGATTCCAACGAACCATCTGCCGCAACGTTGAGAATTAAGACGAATAATTAAACCCACCATTTGTTCCCACATCTGTGCGATTCAGAGGACCCGTGGTTCGACGACATAACGTTCAACTTGATCGCGACGAAGTTGACCATCTTCTCGAGGCTACGCCGCCGTTGTGGGCGATTCGAAGATTGCAATCTCCGCCATTGATCTCCGTCGCCGGGTCGGGGCTTCTTCGCAGACCTACGTGGCATCCGCGGTGGTGATGGGCGCTTGGGACCATGGAGGTAAGCTGCATGTACGTCTGTGGTTGAACCGGGCACCTCGGGGTTCGATTCCCTAGACCGCATACTAGATCTAGGTCGAGCGTTCTTTTTTAACCAGAGCTGCCTCTCCCGCGTCCCCTTCTACACCTCACCTCATCCCACTCCTCCTTTCCCCCTTCTTCTTGTCCTTTTCCTCTCCTTGCTCTCACCGCATCGAATCGAATGCAATTTGCGGATTCATGGTGTTTAAAAAGAATATTTACGCGAGTCTAATCGGTCGCGCGCACACCGGAACTGCTCGAAGCAGACACACCCGACATTTATGCCCTGATGCTGGAGAACCAGACCGTGTCTGGTTCATCTGAGCGGGGATAAATTGTTGGGTCCAAGCGTGCGCTTGGTCCTGCCCGCGTCGGGTCAAGGCGGCCCGCGGCCAACTGGAGGTCAAAGCGAATACAATTGGGAGCGCGTCCCAATTGTTCACTGTCGCTATGCAACGTTTGCATGGACCCGCCAGCAATCGTACAAAGAGCGCGGCGAGGAAGGAAGTTTCCCACTTCTTCCCGTTTCCCCGTCTTCCGCGCTCTCAGTACGTCAATCCCCGTAGCTTCTTTGACTTCGATACTAAAGTTGGGACATCTGTCTGGCTTAGTATTTCCGAGGAGTCCAACTACGCCGTGATTAGCAGTTCGAAGTGCCCGACTTGCTGCTACATCTACCTGGTATGTCGGCGCGCGGACATATCAGATTCACAGCACTAATTGGGACATCTGTCTGGTTAGTTGCTCCACCGTTGCTGATCGTGAACACCCCCAGTCGAGCCGCCGCTCCTCTATCCGCTGCTTCACGCGTCACTAGGTACCCCTCGCGCTATTTCCTCCGTGCATTGAGCTGTAAGCTAATGCTTCTTCACGCGTCACTAGCCATTCGATATTTTCTTGCACCCGCCCTTTACTACAGTAATTCCTCTTACCCTTCTATATCTCTGTCTCCCGTTTACCCTTTCTTCCGCTCCTCCCTCTCCTCGCTCCCATTTTCTTTCCTATCCCCTCGCCTACATTACATACCTTTCTCGTGTCAATTCATTTTGGGCTCCCGTCGGGGAGTCGCTTTCCGGCTAAACACACGTCGCCTGAGTTCGGACGCAGGGACGGGGAATTTCCCTAGGCCGAGATGCCGTGCATCTCAACCTACCAAACAGCCGAGCTATTGGTCGTCAAGCTCAGACCGATTAGACACACACTCCAGGCCCACTCCTCGTGCCCACAATTTCTTTCCCTGCTTGGTATGTTGAAAGTGTCTTTACATCGGCGGCGGGACAGCTCTGATTCAACAGGACTTGGCGCGTGGTTGAAAATTCGGAGTTTAATTTCCCCGGCCACCTCCGAGAAAACGCTCTCGCAAGTGCTCGCTATGATTTATTGAACGTCTACACATGCGAACACCAGCGGGAGTGCTGAACCAGGGCCTTTTCAAAGTGAATTGCCTATGGTTGAACCGGGCATCTCGGGGTTCGACTCCCCGGACCGCACTAGGCGAGGCTAGAAATTTTTTTCCCTAAAAAATGGCCGGGGCGTCGATCGGTCAAAAACGTACCCTGAAGCTCGAAGACCGCCATCGACGATGAATATTGATTCTGGCATTGGTGACTACGCGTTCCTGTAATTCTTCCCCGGGGTCGCCAAAGAATAGCGCTGGCACCCGCGCTGTGCCTCTGTCTGTCATGAAAGAAATAACTTCACCCTCCCACCTCTTTCCCACTGTGTCTTTTACATGTTGTATACAGGTCCATCAGCAGACGCGCACCTGCAACAGAGCCCTCACAAACTTGTAAGTTGGAAGTTGAACGGGGCATCTCGGGGTTCGATTCCTCACTGTGCCTTAGGAAATCTGCGTCATTCTTTTTCTGCTTGGTTGGGGTCTGGAAAACTTCGTTTGGGTTTGGCTAATAAAAGGTTTCCCGTGCCAACTGAACTCACCAGCATTCGTCTGAGCTGGTACATCATTCACACCGCGGCGGTAACCGACTCACTCGACTCAAGGTCGAGGGCGAGTAGTTGGAATTGCGTGGTTCGACTCCCCGCCCGTATATGGAGATTCATAGCGGGGAAGCGTTATTTTGAGCGAGCTACCTTACCTTCATCTTCCACAGTTGAATACGAGACGGCGAACTTATACTCAGAAAGTTGGAAAGTGGGAGACCTGAACCGTGGGTTTGATTCACCACGAACAGCCAAGACGACCGTGCGCACGAGAGAGTTGCCAAATCCGTGCCTCAAATGTACAGTGTTGGTACAAACCCAGGACGGCGGTATCTACGAGTACAAGAGGAATCATGCGACTCAAGCAGATTCACTACCGTGAGTGTTGAAGTGAATCTGGCGGAAGCCGGTGGTTCCGCTCAGATCCTGCTTCTGATGCACGCTGCCGTCGTCGTCCTGCAGCCAACAGTCTCTAAGAACAAACCAGGAGGCCTAAAGAAAAATGACACTCACGCCCTTGCGCGCAGGCTCCATCTCGATTTCTGAGGTCGTCGGGTCGACCGTCGTGATCGCGGTGCGCTCCACACCTGGGTACATATGATATGTGAGTGCGGGCGGCGTGAGACGGTAGTAGGTACGCACGTATACCGTTGACGATGATGCTCGTGTTGCCCGGGACAGTGTGGTTCCGGCTTGTAGACCACGTCCTGCTGCCGGACTTTCCGCTCGACCCCCGGAGGCCCAGGTTCGAGAGCAGCGTGAGGAGGAAGAGGGGGCCGAGCATGTAATTGAATACCAAGCTGACTGGGGAGGTAATGCGAGTGTGAGTTGCATGCTCGAGAGCGTTATTTAATCTGTGGTTTGACTTACCGGTGCTGAAGGGGAGCAGTATAGTTGAGATCATGCCACCGATCGAGGCAATGCTGGTCGTGCAGCCGTTCTGGACGGAGATACCCATGACGCGCCGGAGGAGACTGGAAGAAGTAGGTATGAGCAGGTGCTGGGACGCACGCAAACAAACGATAGAAATTTAAAAATTGCGCACCGGTCGGT